TTTGTACTTAAAAATTATTAATAAAATGAGTATTTCTCTTTCATTTTGTCCTCTACATGTTTAAATAAGCCGACAAACTTATTAACTAAAATTTTCTATATATTTTATACTTTTATAAAAAATTTTAATTAGAAATTATAAGTAACCCTGCTATTTTAATGATAATCTTTTATAAAAAAAGAAAAATATTATACAAAAATTTCACTTTAATATGTACTAGGAAGTTAAAAAGTAGGTACTTATGATTTTAACGATTTTAAGTACTCATTTGAAATTAATGTAATTAAAGAAAAGAAAGGTTTTAAAATTATTTTCAAAAAAAAAAAGAAATAAAAATTATTTTAAAATTAAATCTCTGTTTAATTTTTACAAAACTCATTTACAACAAAACAAAAAATAAAATTTGGCAACCCGTTGAGTTCGAAAATGTTAATCATGAAAACAAAAACCGAGAAATATTGGAAAATCTGCTAAATCACTTATAAAGTCTTGGAATGGACGAAAATTACTTTTTATCTAAAATAATTTAAGAGCTAAAACTCAATGCCTCTTTAATAAAATAATTTCACTTAAGATAATGATAACAATGGTTCAATGTAATTATTAAATAATTATAATATTTAAAATATTATAAAATTTATAAATAAAAAATATAAAGTATTTAATAGTAATTAAGTGCTAACAAACAGCTGCATAACAGTAATCTTTGAAAACAGAACTCAACACCATACTGATAACAAAGAGAATAGCAAAAATTAATAATTTATTCATTTTACTATGATTATGAAAATTATGCGGGCCACCTCTTATAACCCTGTTTTTTTTTGACCTTGATTAAAATAGAATTTAAAGATGAAAACTTAAATAAATTACAGGTTTACCAACATTAATGCATTTATGCAATAAAAAACATGATTTTCCGCTGGTATAATACCGATTTTATAGCATACACACCATAATTTATTTTTGACTGGACAGTAATGACAAAAATGATGCTTTACAAATCAAAATTAAAAAGACGAGTTTCTTTTTGTTTTTTTTTTTTTCATTTTTTTTTATTTAATAATTTCATTATACTAATTTTTTGTTCACAGCATTTAAACGGTAAAAAAAAAACAGAATAGTTATTTCTTTTTGTTTTCTTTTACCGCTTAAAGCTTTTCATTTATTACCACTTTAAATAGTTACTCTACTGATTACTGTTTTAAATACAAAGCGGAAAAAAAATGAAAACTTATTTATACAGGTACTAGCTGTTATCGCTGTTACCACTACTGATATTATTGTTGTCTTGTTTTAAATAGACGCCGCGTGAACAACAGCAACATTATGTGTAGTAATAATAATAACCTACTGTGACGCTCTGTAATAGTTTAATCAAGGTATGAGATCGTCTATTATGGGTATGAAATGTAAGAAAATTTCATCAAAAATGTATGCGTGCTTTTTTTGGTTTGGAATGTATTCGTTTGTTAATACGGTTATAGTATGGTGGTAGGTATCAACACGCTACTATTAAACGATAAGAGAAAAAGCGTGTTCAATTTATTTCTGCTAAAAATTTTATTATCATTACTCTTTTTGTTTTGTTGATTTTTTTTAGATGTTGTTGCTTTCTGATTAAAATATGTACATGGCGTTATACGCAGGTGCTTTTTTAATTGTTTCACATATTACGCGAATATTTTTGCTAAACGATTTTAAAAATTACAAAAAAAACGTAAAGAATAAAATAAATAAAAAATTAATTTATTCAAATTTATCATTCTACATAGGTAACTAGTAATAAGTTCTACTTAAAGAACTAAAGCAGCCAATTTATAATGTACAACATATTGAAAACTCTACATGTCTCTTCCCCTATCTCATTCACGCTTTAAATTTAATAGAGCTGGTGCGAAATGAATTGTAAAGTCTTCAATATAAAAACTAACGTAAACTGGCGGAAATTTAGATGTTAATATGTAACATATATTTTTATTATAGAAATTCTTCTCTTTCTTACCTCACTTTTCACAAAAACATATCATGGAATTATAATGATAGAAAGAGAGAGACAGGGAGAGAGTAATTTTAAGGCGAATAACAGATAAACGAAAACCAGTTACTAAAATATAATTTTTTTTTTTTCAAATTTTAATGTTATTTTACTATTTTTGGTAATGTTTCGAAAATTTTTGAATTTTATTAATTCATCTTTCAATTTAAGTTGACCATATTAACATAATGAAATTTCACATTTTATGAAAAATAAACCATTTTGTAAGCGAAATAGTTTCGAAACTTAATTGACAATAATTATCAAGAAAATTTTTTGTTTAGTACATAATTATATTTGTACTATTAAGAGCAATTCATAATTGGGCTTATCAGAAATTTTGTAATTAAATTTAAAGAAAATATAATAGAACGTAAGTATAAAAAATAAGAAAGTTTAATAACCATTTTTTAATACAACATGTTTGAAACACAACATGGTTCATACATGTACTTAATACAAATTTATGCTGTACCGTTAACGCAATCGGTAATACAAGTCCATTTCTTTTATTTGCAAAATTTGTTATTGTGCTATTGGGAATTGTATCTGTATTTTTTCGGATATTAAATTTGAATTTATGGCCTTTCAATTAAGAACATTTTATAATTTATATCATTGTTAGTTCTTCCGGCTGGAACTAATAATAAAGTGAAGTCAGTTTAAATTGATAATGTGAATTAGACTTTACTTCTAAATAAATAATAAAAATTTAATATTTGCCACAGGTGAACATTGAAATAGTAAATTTTTAAAAAATATTATAATTTTTTTTATTTTAAAGATGATCAAATATGGGTAATATAAAAAATGAAAGCTTATATACGCTAATAATATGTATATATACACTATGAAAAACTAGTTTGGTAAGCTTAAAATTTAAATTACTTAAATGGTAATTAAATTAAAGTAATTTAAAAATAGAAAGTAAAAAAAAGAAGCAAAATTTAATAAAAATCTTCATTTTATTATTATTTAAATTAATGAGTTTTTTAATTTTTAATAAAAATTCTTCATTCTGGGCTATAAGAAAGGACTAGGTATTTGAATTTTTTATAAATACTTTTTAACTACACTTTTTTTATACTCATTTAGCGTTTGGCTTTTTAACCTCTATGAAATCAGGTATATGAACGTAAATTATGTTTGGATTAAAAAAAATTCTGTAAAAAATTTTTAATTACTTAAAAAAGTCTAAAAGATTTCTTTTTGTTTAATTATATTTTATATTCAAAATCTAGCTAGAACTTAAAATCATATATGGAAAAGGTTAAAAGGTGAATCAATTTCCTTTTTAAAAATATTTTTCTCCTGAACATTACTGAAATATCACAAAATTAATTTAACAGTTCTATAAAAGGATGTAAGAACAATAAAACACAGTGAATTTTGTCTCGACTGCTGTATCTTTTACACGCTTTTTAAAATTCTAAAATCTTTCTCTTAATTATAGAAAAGCTTCTTCATATTTTATAATTTCTATATATGTACATATGTATGTTTTCGTTTTTTTTTTTCTGAAGAGTCATTCAAATCCAATATATGTATACCATTAAAATTTAAAGTGAAAAAAAATTTTTTAATTAAAATTTCTACCGTGTCTCTCAACAATAATTAATGCTATAAAATCAGCCCTTACAATTCTATTTTTTATGTTATTAAAATTTATACAAAGATTTTATGTTACGGGTGAGTATTCCCTTATCATTTCATTCACTTCATTTTTTTCTTACGTTATAATTCGAAAGGAAAATACAAATCCTTTAATGCAAGTAAATTTAAAAAACAAAAATATTTTTTTTTCTTTAAAGACAAAAAATAAACCAAAAGATGGCACTAAACTTCCGGCATCTGAGGCACTTTTTTTTTTATTCTCTTAAAAATTGTTTTTATTTTATTTTTTTGTCGAATAAATAGAAATTAAAACAAAAAGAAAAAATAAGAAAAAAATGCAGTAAATAATTTTCGAGTGTCTCATTCATTTTCATATTGGAATTGTTGTTGTTTTTACATATACAAAATTTTAAATAAAAAATTCATAAAGGTTTTATATTAAAGTGCACAGATTATACCCTTCAAGGAAAAGAAATATACATACATATATATGTACACATAAATTTAGATATATAGAAGTATGCATAAACAAAAAAAAAATTCAACCAGGATGCGCATTTTTTTAAGTACTTTTTCTTTTTATTTCTTTTTTAGCTCCTTTTTGTTTTGCTCACAAAAATTAATTCTTTTGTAGGGATATAAATAATCAGAAAAATTACCAGACCGGAAGCATTTCTTTTTTACACATAATATGTTTATATGTATATATACATGTATGTGTGCACGTACGTATACACGAATGTGATGTATCTTACATTTGAAATGATAAGAACTCAAATATTTAAATATTTCAAGAAAAAAAAATCTAAAAGGGATACAAATTATAATCAACAAGCAAACAATAAGTAAAAATACCAAAAATTAAATGGGAAATTCATGAAGTACAATGAAAAATGTAAATGAACGGAAGAAGTAAATTGTGAATTCTAATGTAAAAAAAAAATTACTTGAATCAACACCCAATTTCTTTGATTTTTCGTTAAAATTGTATGTATATAGCAGAAATTACTTATGCTCGCTCATCTTTTGATAATAATCGAGTAATATTTTTAAAGTTTCAACATTCAAATTGATTTTAATACCGATATTTTAAACAAAATTTGTACCTTCATTTTCAATTTAGCATAATGTTTCCCGTATACTAGCAAAGATACTATAAACAAATACACAAATAACAAAAATATTTCGGCATTATTTTTTGTCTCTAACCTTAATAAAAATTAATTGTTTTTATTTATAAATGTGTTTTTTTTTTTTTAACAATTTTTAAAATTATCTTTTAATTAATTTTATAATTGTTATTTAAAAATTTTAATTTTAGTATACAATAATAAAATTAAGTACTTACGTGAAGCTTTTGCGTATGTTTCATTATTTGTATCATGCCATGCTTCCACAATTAATGTGAAAGTACCCTGTAAGTGAAATAAAAATAAATAAAGTGTTAATAAAAAAATTTTTATATTATTATTTTTTTGTATAAAACTAAAAAAAAAATATTATAATAAAATTAGGAACATATATCTATTTCTAGAAATAACATAAAAAAATTTTTTCTAGTGTTTGGGTTGAATTTTTTTTTTGGGTAGCATGTTATATAAAATTGGTACCTATAGGAATTAATATATTTAATTAGCCCGGGACAAATATGAAAACAAAATTATTTATTTCTGAATAAGTGTACTTGAAAAACTGGTGAATTAAGATTCATAAACGATGAATCATTTTCCATTTATAAAAGATTGAAGCTAGAAATTTTCAAGGAACTTAAAATGGCTATGGATAATGTTCGAAACTATCACATTGGAAACTCAAAATTTTAGAGTTTACATGCAGTTGTTTATATTATGTTTAAATTACTCTATACATAATTTAAACTGAACATCATTATACATATAATAAAAAAAACTTTTAATTTTGATTTTAATTTTATTCAAATAAATTCTTCAAACATTTTTAATTCCGGATTTCGAATTTGACAACAACCGGAATTCAAATTCTCACTATAATATATTTTTATTATTGCCGATTATATAGATTGTTATTTAATAGAAACAAGTAAATAAATAACAATTCCATTTATTATAGTACTCGAAATTATGTATATTTTATAATATTATATTAAATGTTAATAATAATATATATAATTATAATTAAAATAAAATTTATATAAAATAATATAACAATAATTTTCCTAACAGACCAGTTTTAACATTTATGCACAATCAATATACATGCAACATAAATGCATAAGTATCGATATTTTACTGTTGTCTATAATGATCAGATGATGATGATATTTTTATTAGTTTTAATTTTATAATGAGATGTACAATGACAATAATAATTATTTTCTAACTTGTTTCTTACTTGTGTACTTATATATATTTACATAAGAAATTAAACAATATAATATGGAAAAACATTATAATAACTAAATCTTCTAACAATTTAAATTTTCAAAATAATCAACTTTTGTTTTTAGTTTTAACATAAAATATATGTAATAGATATGTATCAAGGATAGGTGTGTGCATATGTACAATGAATGTTAGTTAAAATGTAAGATATAGTTGAAAAGCTTTAGATCAAAGATTTCCATGCATACTTAATTATTATTGTTGGTAAATTATTAATACTGTTGTTTGTTATTATTATACCAATCTATTTTATTGTTAAATATGCGGTGTATTACCACAGAATAACATCTACAAAATAACGATCATTGTTGCAGATTGATTTTACTTTTAATACTATTTTTTTTTTCTTTTTGTTTTTTCTTGTTACATGTCAGTATTATTATTACTATTGTAATTTCTGTTGTTATTTTGTTTTTATTGGTGATGTTGCTGCTCTGTTGCTATTATTGTTGCTGCTGATTTGTAATATCCGCAATTAAATACAAAATTAATTGAAATTTATGAATATATAAATAAAATGGTATTTTATGGTGCAGATGTCATTTTAAAAATAACCATTTCTAAGTATGTTATTTTGTTTTATTATTATGTGAGTGTAATATATGTATGTTGTTTGCATTTGCTAGCAAATTAAATGACACAAATAGAGATATTTTTCCTATTTGTATAATTGAATAAAAATTATATTGTCTGAAGATGCAATTTCAATTGCGCATATTATGTATAATGTACTCATAAACAAATTGAAAGTAAAATTATATAATTTCAAAAAAAATTTTTTTTAACAATAAATGAATTTTAACCTAAAAATGCATGCAAATGTTAGCTTCTCTGTCTTAAGTTTTAAGAACGGATTTATATGTGTACACAAATATCTATGAATGTACCAAGCTATTATTGAATCGGTATACTACAATTCTACTTTTGTTACATAGTAGTAAGCATTTCTATATAAACACGAAAAAAAAACTATAAAACTACCTTAGAATGACCCACTCCAATGATTACCGTACAGAACATACAACACAAAGTATACCTACTTAGGTATAATTATAATTTCTAATTTTTCTTTAAGTTTAATATTGATTATAAAACGAAAATGCTGCTCATTTATCAAAATATTATACATATATATATACTTATTTCTAACTTAAATTTTACATTGTATTGACAACAATGTTAATTAATATTTATACAAAAATTTTAATATTCTTTTAAAATTCATGAATTCTATAATTGGAAATATATTAGGTATATTTATTTATATATTTTCATTGCAAATTCATTTTTCTAATTTTACAAAATATAAATGACACATACATAAATCATTTCATATATTAATACAAATTATGTAAATATTATTAAATTATTATTTAAATTGCAAATTATTCACATAAGAACATCATTAAGTAATTATAATGCAATCTTATACTCAAATAAATTGATAAAGTAAATTTTTCAATATTAACAAGTATGTAATTATTATGTAGTCAATGGATTGCGTGACTTAACTTGACTTGGATGCTAATACAACAACAAATAACATGACAAAATATAAAAAAACAGTAATTTATATTAAATTCAATTAAAATTCAATGAAATTAAAAAATAATTCTTAATGGAAAATAATTATTTGAAAATATTATAGTGTTGAATTTTATTATTAAAATTTTTAATTAGAAAATTTTTTAATATTTAATCATTTGAAATAATCACGAAATTTTAATAAGTAAATTTTAAATTTTATTACCTTAATGATTTTATAGTGTGCATGGTAGGCAGTACTATAAAATTAAGTATATATAAGAACTTAGTATTGATGCAATTTTTGATGTTATATGTTTGGATAATCTTAATATAACCTTGGGCGTATAATATTTTTTTACTTATTTAAAGTAATTATCTTATATAAGCGTAGTTAATTTTTTTTAAAACAAAAGTCGTATACATATAACTGTTATCCTTATCGCATTCTTTATTATGTTTTGTGGAAATTACTCAGAATTTTTGCATAAGTACTTATAATGTATTTAATTTGATATAACAAAGATCTATGGGTGTTAATGTGTCGCTTCCTGTTTAACTTCTTAAATAATATGCTGTAATGTAAGTTAAGAATGTAGAAAAAACACCTACGAATTTTGTGAAAAATTTCAATGGTACATCATGTATAACAGTTATTAAGAAGAAAAACTGTATATTATTTTTTAACTACAAATTAAAAAATATTTTATAATTTGACCTGATCCATGAAATAGTATTGTTGTTATGATTTTATTAAGAAAAATTATTTAAATAAGACATTAAATAAGACTTTCGTTAATATTATATAATTAAATCGGTATAGCTGTAAAATTTATTAAAATTTAATTATTAAATAATGAGTAAGTAATAACTTTTACTTATTCATTATAAATAATTAAATTTTAAATTATTTTTTCTTATATAATTTTTTTTTTTCTCTACCATTATTAAAGAAAATTTTTTTATGTGGTTTTACATGAACATGCAAATATCGACATTATTTTTATATTTTAAAAACATAATTATTTTAACTAACTGAAAACATTTAATAACAAAAAACAAACTGTTTTTTTTTTCCTGATCTATTTGTTTTCCAATATAGTTACTCATTATAAACCTACAAGCCTTGTTAGTTATTTATTAATTCGAAACAAAATTTTTCCTTTAACTATACTTCTAGTAGTGCTTAAGTGAATGTTAAGCACAAATGGTATAATATTTGTAAAATAAGCAAAAAAAAAAACGAAAAATTTTATTTCACACCATTAAAATAGAGTAAAAAAAAATCGACTGAAAATCAAATTATACTTACTTATGTACATTTTATATAAACACTTTAAAAATTGCATATACTTACGTGCATAAGTGTATTTTTACACAAAACATGGATAAAAACCTACATAAACAATCAAGGTATCGCTTAATAGACTCATAACACTTCCTTAAGTTAAAATATTTTTTCTGTTTTTCCTTTTTTTCTTTTAAATTATATATTTTTTTCTTCTACTTATTTATTCTACTTATATAAATTTAATATATGCATTTATTTTTCTACCTCTTACACCTTTTTGCACCATTGTATAGAATCCACAAAAAAAAAAAAACATGATAGAGTCAGGTGAATATAATTGTTGATTAAAAAATATATAAATAAAAAAAAATATCAGGAAAATACGAGTAAAATAACAAGAATAACAAAAAAAAAAATTAAAAGATCTTTAACATAAGCATAAAAATAAATTAGAATATGTGTGTACATCTTATTCAACCGATAATGTAATTAAATCTCCCTATAAGTACATATACGTAAAACATATTTATATATAGAAAACAGTATACTCTTCTTGCAAAGTGTAATTAAAATCTAAAGTAATACAAAAAAATAATAATAAAAAAAACGTCAATTTCCAAGTTTAGCGAATAATTTTCACTTCACTCTTTTTATATACATATACAAACATAAGTACATAAAAGGTTCACTCTACAATTTTTCCTTACATATTTTCTTCCTTGTTGTTTATGATGCTTTAATCATCTCTTGTCTCACTTTTATACTTAATCTTATACTCATTTTTCACTCTTCCTTTCCTCCTCTCTTTCAATGTTGTTTATTAGATATTTTCTAAACTAGGTGTTTTTTTTTTGGTTTTTCTAAATGCAAATATGTTTATGATCATGCATTTATATATATACATAATGTGTGTTCGTACAACTAAAAAGAAATTGTCGTTTAATTATTATAGGAGTGTTTTTACTACACATTTTTTTCAAATTGAATTTTATATTGGGCTTTCAATTGTACTGAAAACCTTAACCATAAAAAACATAAAACCTTAGCACATAAAACCTTTTCATAAATTTTAACTATATGGCGTGATTACCAGTGCATTTGTTACAAGACCATGAAAATTTTGTTGATTTTCTAAAAATAGTGCCAATTAATTGCAAATAAACCTCCAATAACTGACAAA